AGATAGCTTTGGGGTCAGTGAGTTCAAATTCTGGTACCTCCCTCACTCGCTTGTGACCTTGGTCAACTAAGTGCCTTAATGCCCTGGGTTTTAATTTGTGAAATGGGGGCAATAAGTAATTCTCATATGGCTGCTGCATAGATTAAAGATACATTAGGAATTGTGGGTTGCGATTTTAACTCCATCTCTGATAGAATGGGCACTATGAACTTCGGTTTCCCACCCACAAAATAGGAGAAGTAAGATCTAACTTGGAAAAATAAATAAATAAATAAATAAATCTAACTTGGGAGTCCAGCAGACTTAATTATCAGCCTGACATGGCCACACATGCGCTACAAGACTCTGCGCAAGTTCTTTAGCTTTAACTTGAAATAATCCAGTAAAGGGGCATGGTGCAAGCACAGGTACAGGAGAGGTCCTCTATTGGTGTCCTTGTATGGCAGGTGTCACAACACCTTGTTTCTTTCTTTTTAAAAAAATATATTTTATTGATTTTTTACAGAGAGGAAGGGAGAGGGATAGAGAGCTAGAAACATCGATGAGAAAGAAACATCAGCCAGCTGCCTCCTGCACACCCCCCACTGGGGATGTACCCGCAACCAATGTATATGCCCTTGACCGGAATCGAACCTGGGACCCTTAGGTGTGGGCAGGGTGGGCTCCTGCTGAGAACTCTGTGGGGGAATCCACTCCAGGCCTCTCTCCTGGCTCCTGCTGGCTTGCTGGCCACTGTTGGCTTCCCATGGCTTCTCCTCATCACCCTGGCCTCCGCCTTCATCGTCACATGGCATTCTCCCCGTGTGCCTTCACATTGTTCCCCCTCTGTGTGTCTGCCTCAGGGTCCAAATGTCCTCTATTTATAAGGACACCAGTCATATTGTTTTAGGGCCCACCCTTGACTTCATTTTAACTTGATTATCATCCCTGTAAAAACCCTGTTTCCAAACGAGATCACATTCTGGGTGGTGGGGTTAGGGTCTCAACCTAGCTTTTTTGGGGGAGGGGGACACAGTTCAACCCGTGACAGGCGCTTTGCACGTGTTAGTTTTCCTTCCTCATCAAAGTGCCCCATCAAACAAGATGAAATACTCTGATCACTGCTTGGAACAGAGCAGACGCTCAATCAATATTTGTTGAACATGTAAATGCATGGATGGGTCGAAGATCTCATGGTGTTCTGAATTGTTCACAGTTCTCTTCTGACCCAGTAAATACTCCTCCTTTGAAAAGAGGGATCTCAAGATCTTTTGACGAGAATACAAAGTTCAGACGAATGGCTCCAGGCAGTTTCCAGAGCGGAGATCTGATAGCCCTTTGAACGTGCTCCATGCTGTTCCCACAGTCTGAGAAATTACAGGAAGGTCTTTCATTCTGGAAAGGCTTGCCTTTGCCACAAAGAGCGAATTGCTCTGGCAAAGGCTGAAACACTTCCTGCAGTCATTTGCAAAGAGGTTCCCACCACGAACAGGTGCTGGAAGGTGAGGTGAGAACATGGCGGTGGGTAATGGGGCAGGAAAGCTCCCACAGCCTCAGCCCCAGACACCCACGAAGTCAGGAAGCTATAACCAAATGGGGGAATGCCAACTCCTCTGAATTCTTTACTCTTCAGGCCAGGGGCCCACATATCTTGAGGGCTTACGATGTGCCGGAAATGTTCCTTTTGATACAGCAAAGTGACTCCAAGCCTACATTCTGCTGGAGCTGGGCTTCTGCAGTCTACTCTTGGCCCACCGCTGCATCGCTGTGTGATCTCCAGCAAGTTGCTTAACTTCTCTGTGTCTCAGTATCCCTGTTTGTAACTTGGGGGTAATCATAGTATCTACTTTATAGCAGAGGTAACTTAACACATGCAATATACCACCCACAGTGCATTAGAATCATGCTAGCCATGATTGTTTTCTTATATTTTGCTGAGGACATGGCTGCTGCTGAGGCTGGTCATGGGGAGGTGAATTCTAGTGGCCAGGTTTTAATAAGATCGAATAAAATAAGAGGAGTCTGATCTCATCTTGTTAGAACTCGACCCCCTCTCTCTCCTTGTTTTTCCATTTCTCTGCTTTACCTCCGTATGATCTTGAATGCTCACCAAGGGTTATTTCGTTAGTTCCTCCAGCAACCCTATGAAATGGGGACTGTAAACTCTGTCTCCTGGGTAAGGAACCTGAGACTCAGACAGGTAAGGTGACTTGTAAGTGGTGAAGCTGGAATTCAAGGCAGGTGTGTTTGACTGCAAGGCCACAGGTTGGGAGATGGTTCTGATGGGGATGAAATTTGCCCGACCCTTCCTCCCCCAATTCTTCATCCTTTGGACCTCCCCTTGGGACCTAAGCACAAAGTTCTCCACCAGAGCGCCTGCCCTGGACAACGTTTCCACTTTGGATTGGCTTCTCTATCCTATCATCAAAGCCAGCCCCCTGAACAGGCCCCAAGGAACCCATTTACCCCAGGGGCCGAGGATTAATGACAAAGGCCACCCATTAGGACAGAGTGTTCTCCTCTGGGAGGGCTTTGAATCGTCATGGAGACTCTGGAGGTGAGTCCTGTCCTTCCCAGCTTCACAGGTGAGCAAGCTGAGGCTCAGAGAAGTTCTGTAACTGGCCCCATGCTGGGTCAGAACTTAGCTTTGAACCTTGGCCTGCCTCCCTGGTGTCTTCCACTCACACCCTTTTTCCACACTGCCTGTTCCTCTGCTCCCCTGCAGGGCAGCCTGGCCTGATACTGGCCTATGGGCTCCCTGTCCCCATACCGCAGGGGCCAGAAGGTCTTTGGGACCAGCTGGGCTTCCGGGGGAGTGGAGACAGCAGTGTCAGGGCATCTTTGCTCAGGGGGAGGGAGGGTACACTAGTTGGGGACTATGTGACAACAGAGCTCCCTGCAGGGGAGGCTGGGACTTGGTGGTAAAAGTCTGTAGGAAAGCCATCTCATTTGTATCTTTCTCTTTAGCAGAGTTGACAGGTTCTGGAATTCTCTGGCCTCTCTGAGTGCCTAGCCATTGGAATTTGGAGGTTCCTGAGCTTAGTCTTCTACTCTCCCTTGCAAACCCAAGTGGCCACTAGCTTCCTGGTTGTTTTGGAACTGCATGATGGAGCAGAAAGAGCTCTGAAAGTCGCCCCCCTGTGCAGCCCGAGGCAGATGAATTTACCTCTCTGATCCTCAGTCTCCTCATTGGCAAATGATTTCTACTTGCACAGGTTATCATGAAGATTCAGCTAGACAAAGCACATAAAGCAGTTTGGCAGGGCTTGGCACATAGTACGCACTCAATAAACGTGCACCCACCATTATGATGGTAGAAATGGTGCTGTCATTAACAACAGAAATCTTGGGGAAGATTTTCTTGGTGGTGGAGGATCCAAGAACTAGATGGAATTGGAATGGTGGCGAGAGGAGAGAGAATGTTCTTTGCCTACCCTACTGGCACCCATCCCAAAACACACATGCCCGAGGCCAGCTCAGGAAATGACAAACAATTTTTGTCACTAACTCCTCCTGGGGAGACAGGGTATTCTTTTCTTCTACCAAAGGATTTTTCCATTGATTTTTAGAGAGAGTGGAAGAGAGAGGGAAAGATAGGCATATCAATGTGAGAGAAACACATCGATTGGTTGCCTCCTGCATGAGCCCTGACCAGGGCCCAGGTCGGGAAGGAGCCTGCAACTGAGGTACGTGCCCTTGACTGGAATTGAACCTGGGACTCTTCAGTCCATAGGCCGATGCTCTATCCACTGAGCAAAACCGGCTAGGGCGAGACAGGGTTCCCCTTGGCCTTGGCTTAACGGTGTGGGCAACACATGCCCGCATCCACTCACACATTCTCTCCCAGCACCAGGAGCCCAAAAAGCCAATAGCGCGGGTGACACTGAGTTACCCTGGAAGGACCTTATAAGAGAAAAATAGAGGCACCCCGATTTAAGGACAGTTGATTGCACCCACGCTTCTATCTTGACCTTTCTTTGCACAAGGCCACAGGGGATGTGGCCAATGCAAGTCCATTTCTTGGGGGCTGGGCAGTGCCCTCAGCTGCTGGGCTGCAGGGGTGTTAGGGATATTCCAGTTCTACCAGCTCATTTCCGGGAAAAGGAAGCTCTGAGAAGCAGGACCCTGTTCACCAGCACGGGGTCCACCCCTGCGCTCCGGTGGCAGAGTTCTCACCTCCCTCCTGACAAAAGTACTGTCAGCCGTAGCGAGTCTCAGGACAGGACAACGGATTGTGCTTGGGGAGCCTGTCTGAGGTCTCAAGTCTGCTTTCCTATGACGGCCTTTGGAAGGAAATAGCATGTCATCGCTCACCCTCCTCTCCCCTGCACCCCACGGGTCTCCCCGGCCGAGGCTTGACCTGGGTGACCGTGGAAGGTCATTCCTCCGTGCTACGGAGCTGAAATGACCAAGAAAAAACACAAAAGCCTTTCAGATGACTGCGGTTCTCGGGGTGAGGCGGGAAAGGAGGGGTTACTGGAGAGAGGACTGTTGCATTTACGAGGCTTCTTTAAGACAAACGCTCAAGTAGGAAGGGAGATGCAATAGTAAAGAAAGAAGCACTCACAATTTCCAGTTCTGGAGTGCGGGGCAGGTGGTCAGCGGGGCCAGCATGGGGGAAGCCCTTGCAACTCGGAGATTCTCCGTTAAGTCAGGGGGCCGGAAAACACGGACCTGGGAATTTCCAGACCCACACGCTTTCCCTTCCCCTCCCAGCTCTGCCAACTAAATGTGGGGGCTCCTGCTGGCATCAGGAGTACCACTTATCCATACAGGTTCTCTCCCTTCATTCTAGTGGGGAAGGGTGGCGTGGCGATACAATGCAAGACCCAAACTGCCAGCACCTTTGGCAAGGTGGGGTGGGCATGAGACGGGCAGCGTGGGTGGGGACTCAGGAGGACGTCCTGTGAGTTCTGACTTCCCAGGAGGGAAAATGTGTAGCAGCCAGGAATATGAACAAACGACCCCACACACAAAAGCCCAGCCCCAAACCGAGCCATGAAATAAAACCAGCTGCATACATCACAAAACGGTAAAAGCGGCGTTCTGGTTCTATTTGTCCTTCAACACGTTCATATTGCACTACTTTCCTCAAGGTATGGGAAGGAAAACCCGGAGCACTGAGTCAGCGGGACAGGAGGCCCCCATGCAGGGTTCAAGTCATTTGTGTCTCCTCTTCACCCCGAACAGCTCAGCCATGCCATCCCCGGGGCAGGCATAGGTCTGTCGTCCAAGTTCCGGACCCGAGACAGCATCTGGCTTTATTGCAAGTCTGGCCGGCATTCCGTCTCCCGAGGGAGCATCCTTCCTTCACAGTCCCTTACCCCGTTCCCTGTGAGAATACGGGGGCTGCAGAGGCACAAGGCGCTGTGGGTGCCTGGACGGGGCGCACGCAGGCCACGGAGGAGACCTCGCTGTGTTTCTGCTCCCCGCAGAAGAGGGTCCTGGGGGCCGGCCGGCCGCGGCCCCTGCTGCAGGGGTGACAGCAGAAGAGGGAGGCCACCAGCAGGGCCAGCGCGATGATGAAGGTGAGCGTCCACTGCATGAGGCCGGGGTAGATGAAGGGCAGGATGAGGACGATGAGCAGGGCCAGCAGGAGCAGGTGTGCCACCAGGCGCCGGGCTGCCACGCGGTTGGCACTGGCCACGTCCTGCCCATCCCCTCCGGCCAAGCCGGGGTGCCCTGCTGTGAAGGCGGCAGCAGCGGCGGTGGGAGACACCAGCTCCTGAGGACAGAGCCACACTTCTGGGCACGGCCGGGCCAGCCGGCCCACCAGGGCCTCCTGGTCACGCAGGCTGCAGATGAGGCCCCCGGGGACGGCGGTGGCCTGGCGGCACAGCGGGCAGGTGACGGACCAGCTGTCGTTCTGCGGGCACAGCAGGAGCTTCAGGCAGACGGCACAGAAGGAGTGCTGGCAGCCCAGCAGCTTGGGGCGTCGGGCACAGCTGTAGGGCTCCCGGCACACCAGGCACTCCAGGTCCGGGCCCGCGGAGCCTCGATGTCCCCCAACGGTGCCCGTGATGGTGGTTCCTGCCAAGATGGGCTGGGGCTGGTGGGCGGCTGGCTGCTGGGGGGGCTCGGGGCAGGCCATTCTGGGCAGGGGGGCCGGCGGGACGGGGCAGCTCAGGGCCTGGGCATGGACCAGGCGCTGCGGGGACCTAGTCTGACCTCAGATGGCGGGTCAGCCTCCTGGTCCTTCTGCGAGGCGCCTGGTGACAGCAGCCGTCTGGCCCCGCTCTCCAGGACTGCCCCGCTTGCCTCTGGGCTTGTGTTGCCCCTTCGATTATTATTATTTCTTTCCCGGGGTTAATCAGTAACCAGCAGGCTGGAGACTTTGAATTGCCTGATGGAAGGGCCAAAGTGGGCAGGGCCTATTAGTGAATCAGAACTGCCCAGTTGGGGCCAGGTGCCTCAGGGCTGGTGAGCTTCAGGATGCGTTAGAATTCCCACCACCACCACCACCACCACCAGGCCAACCCTGGAGCCTTAAAAAAAAAAAAAAAAAAAAAAAAAAAAAAATATATATATATATATATATATATATATATATATATATATATATTTATATATCGATTTTTTATAGAGAGGAAGGGAGAGGGATAGAGAGTTAGAAACATCGATGAGAGAGAAACATCCATCAGCTGTCTCCTACTGGGGATGTGCCCACAACCAAGGTACATGCCCTTGGCCAGAATCGAACCCAGGACCCTTCAGTCCGCAGGCCGACGCTCTATCCACTGAGCCAAACCGGTCAGGGCCCCCTGGAGCCTTTGAACAGGCAGATCTCTAGCCCTGAAACCCAGAGACAGACCCAGCAGGTCTGGAGGGGATCCGAGAATTTACAGTTAAACATTGCCGTCCCAACACAGGGGGACGAGGGCCCCACTTTCAGAAGCGCTGCCACAGGCGGTCTCAGACTCACCCTGTGGGTGTCAGGATCCGTGGGGATAAATGTCTGTCTGTGTTTTGAACACATTTACGAGCAGGTGGCCCATGAGAAAGAGAGAGGGAAAGTGTTCAGAGAAAGTTGGGGAGGGAAGCCCAGCCAAACAGTGGATTTACAGTTACCGCTTCCTGAGCATCTCCTCAGTGCCCTGCTGTGCTCTTCGCACCCCTAACTGCTGGGCACATCACATGGCACAGAATAGCTGCCGTTTATCTGGCCGACTCTGAGGAAGCCTGCTGCCAGGGGTCCTGTCTTAGCCTCTGGCCCAGAGCGGAAAGGAGACACTGGGGGCCTGGCAGTGGAGGCGGCCCGGGGTCAGGGCAGGCCTGCTGGCTGCCTGCCAAGGGGCCTTCCACGGGGCAGGAATCTATTAGCGTCCAAGGTCGGGTTCCCAGCCTCTTGTGGCCGGGAACCCAATCTCATCAGTTTGTGTGTGGGCAATAAGCTTCCAGGAAGGTGACTCAAGTTAGCAGGACTCCGTGGGACCTCGAGACGGGCAGCATGGCAGTTAAGGAAATGTAATCCCTTTACCTGGCCCTGAGCGTCAGAGGGCGGGCGGGGTGGCGAGTCCACTCCCTCAGACAGCTGCCTCGCTCACCTGTGGAGAGCCACGCAGAATCAGCGCTTCTGATCCAGCTCTTCCCACCCTAAGGGGCAGGCAGTGCCCTCTGGCTTCACCCTCCCCTGGACCCTCTGTCTCTGAAATCTAATCTCTCCTCTCCTCTCCCTGACCCCCCTCCCTGCCACTGAGCATGGCAGCTCTTCTCCTTAGTCTTCAGTTTGACTGTCAGTTATTTCTTTCCATTCTGTTTCCCCCCAGATCAAGATGAAGGGGATCTCGGACGGAGCACTGGGCATCTGTTTTGCCCCCATGCGAAGCATCCGTTTTTCCTTCTACGGTGCCCTGTGTTCCCTTTGGGCAAACATTGCTCCCACGGTCATTCTCTGTGGTTCCCAGTTCTGTGGAAGCGGGAGGTGATGGGAGTCAGGGAAGACCAATCAGAGTATTCCTTCCTGCTGGCTACAGCCATTGGTTCAGATGTAGGTATCTGATCTAAGCCGAGCCAATAAGATTCAAGTCTGAGACTTGTGTTGAGACTACTGAGAAATTTCTCTGCTTGATTTCCAAACTAAGGAATGGAACTCTGGAGCTGCCAGGACCACTGCATAGCAAAGAAACTGCCTAAGAGTAAGGTCTCACACACACACATGCGTGCACACACACACACACATACACACACACACTAATCCTTTATAATAAAACTCTAATATGCAAATCGACCAAACCACAGAATGACCAGTAGCTATGACAAGCACTGACCACCAGGGGGCAGATGCTCAATGCAGGAGCTGCCCCCTGGTGGTCAGTGTGCTCCCACAGGGGGCGCACCCACTCAGTCAGAAGTTGGGCTCATTGCTGGTGAGTGCAGTAGCAGTGGTGGGAGCCTTTCCTGCCTCTGCAGCAGCATTAAGGACCCCTTGGGGGATGTCTAACTGCGAGAGGGCACAGGTTAAGCTGAGGGACCCTTCCCCCCGCTACCCCCCAGTGCATGAATGTTGTGCACCAGGCCTCTAATAATAATAATAAAAATAGAGAAGAGTCAGAAAAGGGTTGATGACATTGAATGCCTGGATCCAGCCATGTCTGAAGTCAGAGCTTTTCCCTGTTATGTTAACTTCTAAAATCCACCCCAATATTTATTCTAGAGCCAGAACCAAGGGAAATTGTAACCCAGCAGTAGATGAAGAAGCCTTTATTTGGTATCTGACACAGGGTCAAACATCAACCAGACAACCAGCCTGCACGTGGCCAAGAGTGAGCCAGTGCCTGTGTGTCTCTAGGCTAGGGGTGTCGAACTCAATCAGAGAAGGGGCCAAAATCTAAAATCCAGCCTAAATCGCGGGCCGAATGGTTTACTGAACAGTCATAAACTGTCATTGTGATGGAAACGCAGTGGAGTGCAGTGATGACAGCGCGGTGCGGGCCACATTGCAAGGCCTGGCGGGACAGATTTGGCCCGCAGGCCTTGTGTTTGACACATGTGCTCTAGGCTAAAAGACACTATTTCTCTTCTCTGCTTTGACTGGCACTTTATAATGCTCCTTTCTGTTTGCTGAGCCCTGGGAAAATCTGGGGATAGGAAGAGAAAATATTTGTGGAGCTGCATTCATTTATATTGAGAAATAGACATTCCAGTGGAAAATATGGTGAAGTCAGCGTGGCCAGTGCCCCCTCTTCTGCTAGCCAGCTCTATTGGAAGCCAAATAATCAGGAGGTCGCTAGGTGAGGTTGAAATCAGACCAAGGGCAGTTCCTTGGGGTTAGTGTCTAAAGAATGACCATGTTCAATTGTTGGGAAAAGACAATGAAGAAAACACATGGATTATAACCACCCAAATATTACAGAAATACATTAAGCAGAAGGTGAACGTCTCTTTGAGAAAGTTCCATGCCTTGAGGAAATGACGGCTTATAACAGCCTGATCCTTCATGTTGCCCCATCCTGCCACCTTGTCCCTGCCAGGTGCCTTGGCTTAACTGGCTTTGGAGTTGGACATGCAGCTCCTGTCGCTTTACTAGTGACCTTGGGTGAGTCATTTCCACTTCACCGAGGCTCAGTTTTTTAAGTTTGATTAAATGGAGACAAACACACTGCAGGGGATTGTGGGAGATGACTTAACCTCGCACCTCCATCCAGACCTGCTCACCGGAGGCTCAGTAATTTATACACCTGGCTTTGTAAGTGACCGCAATGTAATTGATCCCTTCAGGAGCACTAGACAAGACACTTTGGTGATCTGCTCTTCCAATACTTTTTTTTTAATTAAAAAAATTAAATGTATCTTTATTGTTGAAAGTATTACAGATGTTCTCCTTTTTCTCCATTGACCCCCCCAACCCTCAACCCCCAGTGCTCCTTAAAGAGCAGTGAATGTGGGCAGGATCTGGAGCACAGCCTGGAGCAGGTCTGACCCCGGGGAAGTACACCGTGTCTCCTGAGCCTTAAAATGTTGAATTCATTTAGATTTCTCATTCTTGTCTGTGCTGTATTTGGGCTTGCTGTAACATTATAATTAAAAAACACAGAGTCCGATCCAAATCTCCAAATAAAACATGTTTGTTTGTTTTTAATTGCTGTACAAATATGAACTCCTTAATTCTCAGTAAATTTTTCCCCCTCTTTGAAATGCAATTTCTTTCATCCTGTGACTTCAAATACTCCAGGGGTTAGAGGAGGAGTTTGAGAAGCTCAGTCTCAAGCTGGGTTAGAATTTCACACCCGGCTACAAGTGGGGAAATCGGAGCCCGGTTGGACCACTCTGAAAGCCTGCTGTGCTGGTAACCACAGCCCCACGCCTTCCAAAGGACACTTTTGACCTGAGTTGTAGGCTCTGCATCAAGTTCCTGGGGAACGGAGTGAGGGAGCGGCACTATCAAGAGGTCAAACAGTCAGATCATGCCTGGTCTTTGATCTTGACCAACCCACCCTCACTCCACACTCCAGTAGCTGCCGAGAGCCCTGTCCCAGCCAAATGCCCAGCACTCAAGCCTTATTCTAGATTTCCAACTTCTGTGCTCCTGAGGCTACACCTCCATCCCTCTCACAGCATCTGTGTGTCTGAGGTTGGATTGGTGAGGGAGACAGGAAGGGGATTAGGAACCAAACTGACGACAGGACAATAAAGATTAAGCATGGTGAAATGATGCAAAGAGAAAGTGCCCTATGTACCAACTGTAGGAAGTTGGAAACTGCACTTGTTTTCTTTTTCTGCTTCTAAGAATAATTATGTTTTAAAAAACCATGCTTAATGTAAAAAAAATAATTACTGATGATCATAAAGAGAAAGGCATCAGTAATCAGCGACCTCACAGCCCATACAGAAACAGTTCTAATTCTGAAATGTGCCTTTAGCCTTCTTTCATTGCATACTTGCACAAAAACCCTTTCTTTCATTAAAACTGGACTCTGCTATTTATATTTTGGCAAAGTGTATTTTACTTAATAGCTTATCTTACATCTCTTTTGCATATTAATAAATACATTTCAACTCATTCGTGAAGGTTGTTCTATCATCTGAACATAGCATACTTTGTCTAGTCAGTTCCCATGCGAGGAATGTTGAGTTTTTCCCCCCATTTTCCACTGTTATTAACAGTCCTGTGACGAGCATCCTTGGACTTGTGCTTTTCATATGTTGCCCTTTCAAAGTTGCATTCTGCATGTTATCTTCTCTATCTGCCTTTTTGGCTCAGAGCATCTGGTGGTTTCGGTCCCAAACTTTAATCTATGCTGAGTTGTTTATGAACTTGATTTAAGGCATGAAGGTTGGGAACT